AGCCCTTGTGTGCAGATGGCTCCTGGCTCTTCTGCTTCTCTTCTGTGTCTTCCTGATGTTCACACCACATCGTTGCATGCCCATCGCTGGGACGCTTGGTACCAGGAACACTCAGTGTCTATGTGGTCACCTCAGCATAGGTGGGGACTTTTTCTGAATTGTTCCCCTCTTCCCCATGCTGGTGCCCACCTCGTCGGTGCTGGTGCAGGTCTGTGGGTGTCAGGCCACTCAGAGTGCCATGTGCTCAGAGGAGTTGGCCACTCTGCCACGCTTGTGGTGGTCCCATTCCCTTAACTGAGCCAGGCTCAGTGTAATACCGGACAAGCCCCAGCACTCGAAAAGCCACAGCTGACGCTCAGTAGCTCCGGCAGAGTGGACGTTCGTTGGCTTTCTACCAGTCCACTTTGCTGCACCATCATGGAAAGTGTGGGTGATTTAAGTGAGAATTAGATTTCAATATAAATAAAAATAAATACAATAAATACAATACTATAGCAAGTGCCATGCTGCTGGGAAACATTGCTACTGTGTTTATTACTTACGAGTGTTTCAGATTTTTCTAGAATTTTTATAGGAGGGATAAAAGGTTAAAAGGGGGTTGGGTGTGGTTCGTTAGTTGTGGCAGTGATACTAATATGAGATGCTGGATGGGGAAATGGAATGACAGAACTCTGAATTCCTCCCGCACAATTTTTGTTTTGCACATATAAAGCTACTCTGAAATAAAATGTGAAAGGTGCATAAGCTTTTTTTGTGACCTTTAAGTTTGCTCTACTTTTCATAACCTCACAAAGCACAGCCCACCCCGCGTCTCTCTCTCTCTCCTTCGTTTGAGTCCTGTAGCTGGGGTGTGAGTGCCACACAGCAGGAGCCCACTTGCAGGACTCAGTTCAGTGGTGCTAGGCTAGATCTGCGCTGGCACTGGGGCCCTGGGCCGCTTTCTGGATTAATAAGCAACTGTCACGACTCGTGCACATGTGCAGGCAGCTGAAGCCTCCTGCAGGTAGCTCCGGTTCTCTCGCCTGTGGCCTCCAAGAGACCCCTTGTGTGCTCTGTTAATGACTAAGTCAAAATAAATAGATGCTCTTGGCGGCAAGCGGCTGAGTGGTTCTGACAGTTGTCTCTCCCTCCTTGACTGAGCCGGTGGCAGAGCGCAGTCAGGTGTTCTCAGCCACGTTCCATGCGAGCGGGCAGGGGCAGGAGATGTGGCCGCAGCAGGTGTGGACAGCGTGCCTGTGTATGGCACAGCCTGAAGCCCCGCTCGCCTGCTCCTGGGGTTGCCAGGACGACGGGGCTGTGCTCCATCCATTCCTTCTGCCCTGCCTGTTCTCGCAGTAGGACCCCTGTGTGTCCTGACCCTCACCTCGCTCTTGCTGCAGGTGCTGGCTAGTGCCTGGCTTCACCCCAGGGAGCTGCTTCTGTTGTCGTTCTGTCTTTGAGACAGTGTGCTTTTGTCTGTCTTCTCTGTCCTGCCTTAGCAGCAGGGGGTCCCCAAACCTGTGGTCAGGAGCCTCTTTGTTCCTCTTCAGAAGTTTCATCGATGGGAAGCTGTAGCTGCCGCCAGTGAGGGTGAGGGGCCCAGTGTGGACAAAAGTGAGCCCCTTGTCCTCTGTGGCTGTGGGCAGGGGTGCCCTGCACCATGTCCCTGTGGTTCCAGAGTCTCTGCCCACCTGACAAGGTGCACTTGCTTTCTGTCCTTTCCTGCATGGGTCACTGCCAAGGGCCGCGTGACATCATCCCAGGATTGTCTGAAGGAAGCACAGGGCTTTCCAGTTGCACTGCTGTGGGCATTTATGGCAAATGCGCTTAGGATAGCAAAAAGCAGTGGCACCAGCCCTCTCTCCAGCCCCTGCCTGTTCTTCGGAATTTTTTTCTTTCCTCCCAAGACATGGACCAGGCTGGGTTTAGGCTCTGCTGGAATCAGCACTGTGACAGGCAGTGTCTCCATCCTGTCTTGGAGAGGAGATCCGCTCCCGTGGCCTGGAGGGGGTGAAGACGTGGAGACCGGAGATGGCAGTGGAAGGGACATGGAAAGCTGAGCTCCCCCAGACCCTCTGGAGGTGCTGGTCTGGAGGGAGGCTGGGCAAGCGTGTGGGAGGCAGGGATTTCACAAGCCACGGTGCCCAGTCCTCCGCCGACTCTCGCCGAAGAGTCAGAGAGAAAAGTTGATGAGTCATCCCACTGATGCTGCAGGAAACCAGTGCCTCATCCACACTGGCGGAGGGGAGGCGCGAGATGACCTCGTGTAGTTAGAGCCGTGCTTCCCGCTTCCTCGCCCTCTGCGTCAGGGCTGCCAGGCCTCCCTGGCTCCGGGGCTGCCTTCGAGTCCTGGAGAGCTGCCACGAGTCCCAGAGCAGCCTACACAGCTGCTGGGTCTGCAGCAAGCTGAGCACAGCGGCCGAGGAGGCCGGTGGGCACGGTGGAGTGGAAGTCAGCCGAGGGAGAGCCGGCTGCTTCCCTGTGTCCCGTGCCAGCTGCTCTTTTCTGTTGAGATCGACTCATTGATTGATTTCAAAGGCGGAGTTACAGAGGGGGAAAGACATCTTCCATGTCTCCACTGGTTGACTCCCCAAGTGGGCTGGACTAGGCCCAAACCAGGAGCCAGGAACTCCATCTATCCGGGTTTCCCACATGGGTGGCAGGGGACCATCTTCCACTGCTCTCCCAGGTGCATTAGCAGGGAGCTGATTCGGAAGTGGAGCATCTGGGACCCAAACTGGTGCACAAACGGTATGCTGGTGTGGCAGGCAGCACCTTAACCCATGGCACCGCAATGCCAGCCCCATGCCAGCTGATCTGGAAACCTGCACATGTGAACTGTGTTTGGTCCGGAAGGAGTGTTCCCATATGGGTAAATGGCCATGAATTAGCTCAACTCTGTCAAGACCCCAAGAGACTTTATTGGAATATGTACTAGTAGATTGCGTGATTTATTTTAACTTTCTAAAGATTTTTTTCTTTGAAAAGCAGAGTGACGGGGGAGGGGGGAGAAAGAGAGAGATTTCTCCTCCCATCTGTGGATATGACCACACCAGCCAAGTCTGGGCCAGGCTACACAGGAACTGCACTGGGCCTCTCACTTGGGTGGTAGACACTGAAGCACTTAGGCCCTCCTCTGTACCTCCCAGATGTGCTGGCAAGAAGCTGGAAGCAGCAGCCAGGACTTGAACTGGCACCCTGATACAGTGTCGCAAGTGGACGCTTGACCTGCTGGGCCACAGCAGACCCATACGTTGTTTTCAAAATCATGGTGAATGTTTTCGATCTTTTGCGAAGATGGACAGAACACATAGGAAATATAAAGGTGAAAATGTTGTACTGACCTCTCGCCACGGTGGGAGGTCAACAGGAAGGGAGGGGCTTGTTAAGAGACAACGGGGAGCTTACGTTCCCCCAGAAGAGCTGGAGACACAGGCTGTCAGCTGAAGTCCCAGGCGTGGTCCCCAGGGCTCGAGACACAGTGGCCCGTGGCTCTGCACCCCTGCCCCTCCCCTCTCCCACGTGCTGCTCCCGAATGCATCCTGTCGTGGAGTGTCGGTTGGTGGAATCAGCTCTTCGGTCTGCACCTGTATAGCAAGGGGGATTGGAAAATGCAGCGCACGCAGCTTCTGTGTTGGAAAAGTAGGACTCACACTCTGGGGAGCCACAGGAGGTGCAGAGGCCGTGGAAGGATTGGGCAGCCACAAACAGACGTGCTCCTTCCCAGACAATAGTAGCACATGTGTGCAACACAGAAATCCAAATGATGGCCGCGAACGTTTCTCGAAGAACTGTGAACATTTCTAGTGACTAGCAGATAAGTCGTTTCGTAACTTGAGGTGCTGAGGGACTTGGCTGTCTGCCTCCTTCTCTTGCTTGGCTACTTTTCTGCTTTCCAGTGAGTTTCTCCCTTTGTTATCCATGGCATGGTGGCACATGCTGTGAAATTCGGTGATTAAAAGAGGAAGGGTTTAAAACAGTTCACCTAATTTTTCATAAAGCCATGTTCTCCTGCAAAGGTTATGTTATCCCATATGGTGCCAGTTCATGTCCCGGCTGCTCTGCGTCCGATCCAGCTCCCTGCTAATGAACCTAGGAGAGCAGCGGAAGATAACCCAAGTGCTTAGGTCCCTGCTACCCACGTGGGAGAACTGGAAGAAGCTCCTGGCTCCTAGTTTAGCCTGGCCTAGCACTGACCTTTGGGGCCATCTGGGGAGTGAACCAGTGGATGGAATATACCTCTCTCTGTCTCTCCCTCTCTCTTTGTAACTCTTTCAAATAAATAAATAAATATTTTTTATAAAGAAGGCTATTTTTTATTTGGCATTGAAGACCTTTTAAGCTGTGCTTTCTGAATGAGAAACAGCCAGGTTTGGGATAAAACTCACACTTAATACGATTTTTGTTGCATGAATTTATGCAAACTATTTTTTTGCATTTTTATAGAGGACTATATGAAGTCAACTTTTTCAAATCGGGTAATTCTTTTTCAAGAAATGTGTTAGTTTGATTCACAAACTTATACTGTTCTAAAAAATGGGCAAAATAGAACCAGTCCTTTCTGGGGTGCACGGCTCCCGTCAGTGTGTGGGTGACGCCGCAGCTGTGGAGACGGTAAAGAGAAGTGTCCCGTCACCGTGCTGATGTTCTTACTGACGGAGCTTCCTTTCGGAGCGCTGGGATCGCAGGTGAAATTCATGTAAAAAGTGTGATAAGTGAACAGGCATCTGAGATGGTTGTTTGAAACTTGCTGACACTGGAAAAGACTCACCTGTGTCGCTCTGAATTCTGTCTAAAGCTACAGGCTATTTGCAAAGTGAATATTCGTGTGGTCATGGAAAGTAACCAGGAGCCTTAATTAGAGTTTTTCCCCCTCAGTTCCTTGGCAACGAAAGATGAGTGCAAACTTCTCCTTTCCATTTTTTAGTTTTTGGTCTGAGTAAACAGTTCCTTTAGATACGTTCTCCACCGAGGGCCCCCTCTTTATTTTCACTTATGCGCTTCGTTTTATCATTCTACAGGGAGTGAAATACCTGTGCATTCCGGCAGCGGATTCACCATCTCAGAACCTGTAAGTGTGCATCTGGAGGCATGAAACGTGCACACAGGACTGTATGTGACGGGGAGGGCGGTGCTGGTGTCGCGGCACAGCCGGTTAAGGGGCTTCCTGTGGTGCTGGCATCCCGCCTCGGAGTGCGGATCTGAGTACCGTTGCTCTGCCAAGGCACCTTGGGAAAGCAGAGGAAGGTGGCTCAGGTGCTTGGGCCCCTGTACCCACGTGACAGACCTGGATGGATCCCTGGCTCCTAGCGTCAGCCTGGCCCAGCCCTGGCTAATGGAGAGAGACCCAGTGGATGGGAAATGTCTGTCTCTCTCTTTCTCTGTCTCATATATAAACGATAGATAGACATTCTTTAAATACTTTTTTTTTTTTTTTAATTTGAGAGGCAGAATTGCAGACAGAGAGAGGGATAGTCAGAGAGATCAAGATCTTCTATCCTCTGGTTCACTCTCCAAATGGCCACAACAGCCGGAGCTGGGCCAGTCTGAAGCCAGGAGCCAGGAGCTTCTTCCAAGTCTCCCATGTGAGTGGCAGGAGCCCAAGCACGTGGGCATCTTCCACTGCTTTCCCAGGCCACAGCAGAGAGCTGGGTGGGAACAAGAGCACCCAGGACACGAACTGGCTCCCACATGGGACGCTGGCGCTGCAGATGGAGGCTTAACCTACTACACCACAGCGCCGGCCCCAGATACATAGGTAGGTATTTTTTAGAAAATAGGGAGAGGACGGTGAAGTTGTCTGAGCCCCGGGGAGCCCTGGTGTCCCGGTACAGCTGCAGGCCCCGGGAGAGGATGTGAGCCTGCCGAGGCTGGCGCTGACCACAGCGGGGCGGAGCTGCGGCTGGAGGTGCCTTCTTGTTTGCCGGTCCTTCCGTTGCGCAACACCGCCAACGGGATGCCCACAGAAGGGTCTGATCTTTAAAAGAGCTACCTGAAATGAAAACTTCAGCCTGGCTCATTCCCCTTTCCCTGGAAGCAAATCCTCAGAGAAGCCGTTGGATTTTGTCCAGAGCACGGCTGTCCCAGAGAAATCGAGTGTGAGCTGCACACGCAAGCCACATGCGTCCTTGCAAGCTTTCTAGGAGCCACACGGAAAAGCGAAAACAAGCGGCATCGATTCTAGTAGCACACTTGACTTAGCCCAGTATATCCAAAATACTACCATTTCAATATGTACTCAATATCCTTTTAATTTTTATTTATATAAAGGGAACAAATTTCATGTATTTCATAGATACAGTTTTAATAGAATAAAAATACTTCCCACCCTACCCTCCCTTGCTGCCTCTCTCCCTCCCTCCCTCCTCCTCCTTTTCTTATTTTTCTCTTAACTTTTTCAGCGACATATTTTCAGTTTACTTTATAACCACAAGCTTAATCTTCCACTAAGTAAAGAATCCAACAAGTAGCAAGTAGAAAAACCACTATTCCTCAGGAGTATAGACAGGGGCTACAAAGAATAATCTGATCTCAAAATGTCAGTTTCTCTCCTATACATAACATTTTTTGGTACTCTGTGTATTAGTTACAACAGATCAGAAAAATATATGACATTGTCTTCTGGGGACTGGCTTATTTAACTAAGCATAATGGTCTCCAGTTGCATCCGTTTTGTTGTGAAAGACAGATTTCATTCTTTTTTATGGCTGAGTGCTGATCCGTCATGCATATATACCACAATTTCCTTATCCAATCATCAGTTGATGGACATCTGGGTCCCTTCCAAATATTTTTTTTAAAAACATGAATGAGATATTTTACATCTCTTTTTTTTCATACTGAAGTATCAGAAATCTGTTCCACTTTTTTACACTGATAACACATTTCAGTTCAAACCAGTTGCATTTCAAGAGCTTGAAGGCTACATGCTCTGGTGGCTGCCTCATGGTGTGGTGAACTATTTTTTTTTTTAAGATTTATTTACTTTATTCAAAAGCCAAAGTTAGAGAGAGGGAGAGACAGAGTCAGAGAGATCTTCCACCGACTGGTTCACTCTCCAAATGTCCGCCATAGCCCAGGGCTGGGCCAGGCTGAAGACAGGAGCCAGGAGCTTCTTCCAGTCTCCCACATGGGTGCAGGGTCCCAAGCACTTGGGTCATCCTCCGCTGCTTTCCCAGGTGCATCAGCAGGGAGCTGGATTGGAAGAGGAGCAGCCAGGACTCTGGCCAGCCCCGTATGGGATGCTGGAGCTACAGGCAGTGACTTAACCCGCTGCTCCACAGCACCAGTCCTGGGACGGAGAACTTGTAAAGCCTGCCTGAGCTGAGTAAATCCTTCCTCTGGGTCAGGAGAGTCTTGCCCTCTCTAGTCTCACAGCTGATGTCGTGTTAACCCCGTCCCTATCGGGGGGATCACAAACGATCGCCTGTCCAGATCACAGCAGCCGCATGGGGATGGGTGGGATTAGGCTCTGGCAGGACGAGGGCGGGCCCTGGAGACCAGTGGCTGTTCCAGCTGTAGCATTCACCTCTGGCCATCCAAAAGTGACTCGGAAGGCTCACGGCTTGGAGGAGACTAGTTTTCCTGAGGCACAGGTTGGATCCTTGTCAGCTGAAAGGCGGGGGCAGCAGCAAAGGGCTTCACCACTCAGTGCGCTCAGCCCAGCCCAAGCTGCTATTCATCGAGGGGCCTCCCAGCGTTACAGGTTACCACGTTCTGCTGGGGAAGGTACGGCCGGCGGTGGTGGTGGGAAATGTGGGAGTTTTCAGGCTTGCAGGATTCCTACTCCATGGCTCTTAAGAGTGAATGCATACAGATGCTACCTATGAGCAGTACTGACCACCCACTCTCTGTATTCAGTGTCCCCGGTATCTGACTTCTGTAAAAGCTGTCGAATGTTGGAATGTCGGCCAACCTTGAGTCTTGCTGGAGACCGAAGAAATCACAACTTAGGCAGTATTTTTGTGAGCTCCGTCTGTCTAACGAATAAACAGGGCTGGAGTCAGGTGGGTTGATATTGGGAAAGGTGAGGCGGCAGGGCAGGAAATGGACAGAGTCGAGTCAGAGTGAGAAAGGACACGGTAGGTGTGAAGTTGGGACCAGTGCATTCTACCGAGGGGCCGTGTTTCCACGCTGATCTCCCACAGACAGGAGAACCTTGAAGACTGAGGGTGAAAGAGGAGGAATTTTATTAGGAAAACAAAGTAGTACCCTAGGGCTGGAAAGGGGCGGGGAAGAAGCATCAGAGAACTTCCTTGGTTACTACTCGTGTCAAGAAACAGAAGTGGTTGGAAGGGCATGGTTGATACGGAAGGAAATGAGCCACTGCCTTTCTCTGAAGACCACAGCAATCTTCTGCCCATGTTTTGGTGGCTATTTTTAGAATGGTTGCTTTGCTCTTATCTCAAACCGAGATCCTGCCATGTTGTTGAACTTGGCAGTGCCTGATTGGCTATCGGATTCTTTAGAGGAATCACACTGTAACCCAGCAGGGCCTCTGTTGTCAGGGAAGATGGCTGCTTGTCCTAGAGATGTCGCAGAACTCGGCTTTGCTGGGAAGCTGCGTGCTTGATGCCCAGCACGATGCCCTAATAGATGCACTGGAGTGGGCCTTCCCACAGACACGTGAGAAGGAGACCTTGATGTCAGGAAATCTCAAATTTACAGCAAGTTCCTTGTGTCAGGCAAGTCACGTTCACTCAGTCACACTTCACGTGCGTCATCTGAGAAAGGTCGGCTTCAGGATTTCTGGAGGCAAGATGTGAAAGTCTTCTCCAGGAGCTCTGGCACTTTGGAAAGTCGGGGTGTACTTTTACTCCACTCAAAGTGTGTTAGCATATCTTGAGAGTTACTTCAGAGGTATCCGGAATAGCACGTTTCGGTGCCTGGAAAACCCACTTGGAAGACGTGCTTACGTGGAGGAGAAGGGAGACAGAGGGTGGACAGCTGCTTTTCCAGGTCTGCTGCCACTTGGCTCAGTTGTCCTTTCAGTGCGTCTGTCAAACCACCCTGCACACTCGCCCCTGGATTTTGCTTCGTTCCCTCCTGAAGACGGGAAGAGGCCTGTGGTGTGGTATGGTGGTTTACTTTTCTTGCCCTCTCCTGTGTCTGGATGTAGTTGTGGGGTGGGGTCCCAGGCCCGGCAGCTCAGCAGGTGTTCCAGCACCATCCTGGGAGAGGGATGGGGAGACTGCTTGTGATGCTGTTCCCAGTGAGGTCCAACAAGAGTGAGACTTCTGCTGGAAAAAGAAGTCAACACCACTACTCAGAAAAAGTCGGAAAAAGCCGGCACTCTACAATGGCGGCATGCTCGTAGACCCTTGTATGATTCTCCGGGAGAAGTTTCTGCTTACTGCGTTAATAACAGCAAGGCTTATGCACGAGTGAGGCTCTGGTACACAGATGTCTGTGACTCCATAAATATTTCTTGTTGTACTAAAGTTCTATGGAGATGGTGGGGCTGAGTTTGGAACTTTGAGTGTGTTGGGTTTCTTAAGAGGTGGACTGTGAAATAGCTTGAATTTCTGTTTACCTGTTGGTGGTGTTCTGTTGGAAAACATAGCTTGCTTTTGTTTTTAAAGGCAGAGTGACAGAGAGAGGAGAGGGAAGGGAGGATTATGGAGAGATCGTCCATCTGCTGGTTCATTCTCTGAATGGCCACAACACCCAGGGCTGGGCCAGGACAAAGCCAGAAGCCAGGAACTCCGTACATGTTGGGGACGGGGGCCCACGTACTGGGTCATCCTGCAGTGCTGTCTCCCAACACGTTAGCAGGAAGCTGGACGGGAAGCAGGGTAGCCGGGACACGAAGCAGCACTCAGACATGGGATGCCAGGGCTGCAGCAGGCAGCCTAACCCACTGCACCCCAGGGCTGGCCCCGTAGCTTACTTGTCAGTGACGAATGTCTTCCTCTGTTCTGTTGCTCTAACAGAATACCTGAGGCTGGGTAATTTATGAAGAAAGCAGATGAATTTTGGCTTACAGCTTTGGAGGCCGAGAAGGCCAAGATTGCACGGCCATGCCTGGCGAGGCCCTCACGGTGCTCCCTAACACGGTGGAAGGAGGACGGG